ACCTGTAATCCCAGCACTCGGGAGGCTGAGGCAGGAGGATCATCAGGAGTTCGAGACCAGCCTGGGCTACAAAGTGAGCTCAAGACCAGCCTGAACTGCATAGCGAGACTCTGCCTCAAAAACGACAAAAAAAAAAAAAAAAAAAAAAAAAAAGGAATAGAATTGGAATTTTTGTTTTGTTTTGCTTTGTCGTTTTGAGACAGGGTTTTGCTATGTAGCGCAGGCTGGCCTTGAGCTTGCAGCAATCTTCCTGCCTCAGCCTCCTGAGTGCTGGATGACAGGTGTGCACCACCACATTCAGCTTCATTGGGATTTTAAAACCTCCCTGTGAGGTCTGGGCTGAAAGGACCCAGCAACTAGGGCTCTTGCTCAGAAGGAGAAGCCTTGTGCTGTCACACACCGTTACCTTGGCAGCACCCAACAGTCCAGGGCTGCTGCTGCACCAGCCCCGCCTTAGTCATTCTTGATTGGAAGAGGCATTGTGTCACGTGCACTCGCAGATCAGTCAGGGGTGGTGTGGGGGGGCAGCTGTAACTCAAGGTGGGGGAATAAAAAGGTGAGATTGCTCCTGTTGAAAACATTTCCCCCTCATTCCTCAGACTTAAACCTTCTCTAAATGGTTTCCTAATAAAGAAAACAAAAGGCAGGTGCGGTGCACAAACCTGTGATCTCAGTGCTCTGGGAGGCTGAGGCAGGAGGATCTCAAAGTCATGCCCAGCCTGGGCAAATTAGACTCTGTCTCAAAATAGAAAATATAAAAAGGGCTAAGGATGGACCTAAATGCGAAGGTCCTGGGTTCCACCCTAGTACAGAAAAAAAAGAAATTCTAGCCAGGAGATTTATTTGTTGAATTTCGCCCCTATACCTATCAGCACTCAAATCAGGCTAATATTTTTATTTCTTGAGACACAAGAAAATATTCCAGAAACTTTCAATGCGAGGGTGGTGTGGTAGCTTTTCCTGTCTGTTGAAGTTCTTATACCTAGAAATAAAAATCGGCCCGGGAGGTTAGAAAATTAATATATTCTGTCGTGGGTTTATTTTTAATAAAGCATGATTGTGGGCTCTGGGTGTGGGAGCTTGTCACAGATTGTTGGTGCTCTGACGCCCACAGACAGATGGAAATCAACACTCTAGGTAGGTCACTTTGCAAGACAGTCACTTGCACTGGAGCTGCATCGTGTTTTCTCCCCCCCCAGAAACAAGCGCGCTGGCTGGGAACACAGCTGGACCATGTCTACGTGTTGGGCTGCGTTTTTTGTTTGTTCAGTTTTTTGAGACAGGGTCTCAGTGTGTAGTGCAGTCTCTGGCTTTGAACTCACTTTGTAGCCCAGGCTGGCCTCGAACTCACTGTGATCCTCCTGCCTCAGCCTCTCGAGTGCTGGGATTTCAGGTGTGTACCACCGTGCCCGGTCCTGAAAACCTTCCTCTGAATACCTCAGGATTTGAAGCTTGCCCGTTGTATTTAGCTCATAAAAATTAGGACATAAAAATGTTTCCATCATTTGAAACAAATGACCATGGTGCCAGCATGCAGTGAGGCCATTCCCACTCTAGGTGTCACTGGGCCAGGACAGGATGGAGGCTGCGACCCTTGTCACAGTATGGACGGACCTCGAGGATGCCGTGCTCAGCGAGAGACACTGGATGCAGGACACACTGCGTGGGCTCCATGGACAGGAAACACCCGCTACAGGCGACTCCGGAGACAGGAAGTGCACCATGGGGTTCCGGGGCTGGGGAGGGGACGGGTGAGTGCTCGTGGGACTTGGCGTTTGCAGAAGGTGATGATAAAATATGAAACCATCCCAGCGCCACAGGAGGCTGAGGCAGGAGGATTGCAAGTTCCAGCCCCAGCTGAGCAACTTAGCAATTTAGCGAGGCCCTGTCTCAGAGTGGGGATGGAGCTCAGGGTGCTGCCCGGGGCCAGTCCCCGGGGCTGCCAAACACGCACACTAGTGCTTCCCCTCTGCGCTGTGAGCACGCTGAGCCTCACTGTGCTGTACCCTCTAAAACGGTGCACTTCAGTTTGATGGCTTAAAAGGACCTCAAGGTGCTGCTCTCTTCTCCCTCCACCCGGGGCCCGGGAGTTCTCAGAGCTCCACTGAACACCGCTCTTTGTAGCAGTCTGACGGACTGTCCAGAGTGGTGTGGCAGTGCTCTGAAGAGCGCACAGTAAGGACACTCCTCAGTGCGCCGCAGGGGTGAGCGGGAGACGGCGCCCTCAGGTGCGGGGTCTCACCAGCAGCAGCTGGAGCTTGCAGCTTTCAAGGACGAGCTCACAGCAACTGCAGCGCCTGCTACCTGCATCGCAGGTTTGCAAAGCACTCTTCACCAAGGCTTCTGCTGTGAAAGGCAGTTTGGGCTAGAAAGCGCATTGCAGCTGGCGGAATCTCTGCGCCCCCAGTCGGGCCATGTCAAGCCCGCTCTGCCCGGAGCCAGCCGAAGTCCTCCTGGTCTCCACCTAAAATACGCCAGCTCAGCCCCTCGAATGGCTCCATTAAGGTGACGCGGTGGATCTGCACACGCGCATGCACAGCTGTGTCCGGGCGCAGGGTGGACGCGGACAGCAGGGATACGCTTGATGTCTGAATTACTTTCCTCAAGAAGAAAGTGCATGAGAAGGGACGGGCTGGGGTGGGCTGTGCCTTCCCCAGCAGTGCGGGGGATTTGGGGACAGGAGGGGATGGTCGCTAGGATTGAGTTTGATCCATTCAGTTGCAATTCTGTAGCAAAGAGAAAGCAAAAGGATTAGCCAGGCTAGTGGTGGCCATCTGTCAACCCAGCTACTCAGGAGGCTGAGGCAGGAAAGTCTTGAGTTCCAGACCCTGTCTCAAAATAAAAATGTGGAAGAGCTGGGGATGTTGCTCAGCGTGAAGGCCCTGGGTTCAAGCCTTGATGGGGGATGGGGGGCGGGGCACACTTAGCTTTGCGATGCGTAGGAAGTGGTTCAGAAGGGAGCTGGCCTCAGCTTGGGGAGGTGTGGGTTCCCTGGGTTGGCCCTGGGTGGCCTTGGGCATCACACTCCAGTGGGAACCACGCCAGCATCTGGGCTGCAGGTGGGTGCTGGCGGACATTGGGTCCTCGCAAGGCAGGGCAGGGGCTTCAAGTTGCGCTGGAGCCCTGGAAGGGCACAACATGCTCTAGAGGAAACCTATGTAGGAATTAAACCTGATGTCTGTGAGCTGCTCGGTTCCCTTTTTTTTTTAGTGGTACCAGGAATCGAACTCATGACCTCACACTTGCAAGGCAGCCGCTGTGCCACTGAGCTATATTATATCCCTGGCCCATTTTTGTCTTTTTGAGACAGGGTCTCGCTCTGCAGTTCAGGCTGGCCTTGAACTCACTTTGTAGCCCAGGCTGGCCTCGAGCTTGCAGTGATCCTCCTGCCTCAGCCTCCCGAGTGCTGGGATTACAGGTGTGCGCCACCACGCCTGGCTCGGTTCTCTTGTTGGACCCAGGGTACCCCTAGGGTGTTGGGGACACTGGGGCTGGGTCACTCTCTGGGGCATCCTGAGCCCTACAGGTGCTGAGCAGTAACCCTGGCTTCCACCTGCTCCATGCCAGGAGCTCCCAAGTTGTGGCAGCCACTCTCGTCTCCAGATACAGCCCAGTGTCTCCTGGGTGAGGGGAGAATCTCCCTTTCCCATGAAGAACCTCTCCTCTAGAGGATAAGCTACTCGGTCATCGTGGTGCACACCTGTAATCCCAGTACTCGGGAGGCTGAGGCAGGAGGACTGCAGAACCCATTCTAAGGAATTTAACAACTTAGCAAGACCCCCATCCTAAAAAGAATAAAACGGGCTGGGATGGCAGCTCAGTGTAAAGGCCCTGGGTTCCATCCTTAGTACCTCAAAGAAAAAAAAGCTCACATGGGCTAACTTTAAATTTGCCATCCTCCTGCCTCAGCCTCTTGAGTTGCTAGGATAACTGGGCGTACCACCATGCCTGTCTCCACCATGTCTCCTGCACACATATGTTCCTGGGCCAGCTGGCAGGACCTACATTAGTTCCTCGTCCACTATGAGTCCAGGGCGGGGGGGGTGGGGTGGGGAAGGAACTCAGAAGCTGCGCTTTGCAGGGGACCATGGTGCTCGTAGGCATATAGTTTATGTCCTGTTTAACAGATGGGGAGCCGGGCGTGGTTGGCGCATGCCTGTAATCCCAGCACTTGGGAGGCTGAGGCAGATAGATAGATCATTGCAAATTCGAGACCAGCCTGGGCTACAAAGTGAGTTCAAGGCCAGCCTGAACTGCAGAGAGAGACCCTGTCTCAAAAGAAAAAAACAAAACAAAACAAAAAAAAAACCCAGATGGGGACACTGAGGCCTGGCTGTGCCTGTGAGTGGCAAAGCCAGGATTTGAACCCAAGTCTCCCAACCCCATATCCAGAGCATTCTCCACCACAGAATCACAACTGGAGCTGATACCCCAAGCCCCCAAGCATGGCCCAGGTACTCACGCTGAGAACTGTGGCTTTTAAAGCCCTGGTGGGCTCTCTGGGAAGCTGAGGCAGGAGGATTGCAAGTTCTAACCCAGCATGGGCAACCTGTGACTTAGTGAGGCCCTGTCCCAAAATAAATAAAAAAGGGCTGGGGATGTAGCTCAGTGCAAGGGCCTTGGTTTCCATCCCCGGGACAGGAAAAGAATTTAAAAAGCCCTAATGGGGGAGGAGCCACGGCGTGGTCAGTGACAATTTTCTATCTCCAGCCCCAACCCCCTCAGCCTTCTTTAACATCCCCTGTGTGTTCCCCACTTCCCCACCCTTGCCTATGCCCCAAAAGGCCAGCCAGGTATGTTTACTGAGTCCCCAATTTAGGTTGCCCCCTTTTGTTTCTTTGAGACGTCTCACTGTGTGGTTCAGGCTGGCCTTGAGTGCCAGTGATCTTCCTGCCTCAGCCTCCCGAGTGAAAGGATGCCTGATGCGGGGTTGGCTTTAGAAGGCCTTTTGTGGCTCCCCAAACTCCACCCTCACAAAAAGGCAGAAGACAAATTTCACAGCCAAGTTTTCTTTAATGAGAAAAGAACATGTCCCAGGAGTCTGGGGGAACAGTCATGCCTCAAGGCGAGGACCCCTGCCCTGGGAGCAGAGCCGAGTTGGGTCCACACCGCCGAGGCGCCGAGGCCTCGGCCTAGCTGCTCTGCAGCACGCGGAGGGCGAGGCACAGGCGCTGGCGGGTGGCGGGGCTGCAGCCGCGCATGCGCAGGGCGCTCAGCGAGCAGGAGGTGCAGGGCCGGCCAGGCTGCCCGAGGGTGAGCCGCAGGTCCTCGCCTGCCCCGCTCAGCACCAGCCGGGCCTGGGTGCCGCTGAAGCTGGCCTGCAGGGGGGGGAGCCAGTCACGGACACGGGCGGGGGACACGGGGCTCTACCGACAGAGAAACTCAGGCAGGGAGGGGCTTCCCTGCCCATAGGCCCCCTATGAGACTCCCACGCCTTTTTCTTTTTTGCGATACACAGGTTGGAAACCAGGGCCATTGCCCGGAGCTCCATCCCCAGCCCCTTTTATTTTGAGACAAAGTTTCGCTAAGTCACTACTTTGCTCAAGTTGGTCCTGAACTTAAAATCCACCTGTCTCAGCCTCCCAGTACTCTAAAACTTTTTGTTCTCTGGGACCTGGGTGTTTCCTGGGGCCCCACCCCACGCCCCCTCACCTGCACGGTCTCATCGCTGAACAGCAGCAGAAGCACCTGCGGCGACACAAAGAACCGCAGCAGGCAAAGGCCCGGGGCGGCAGGCGGCGGGGGCGCTGGTGGGGCCCCCTCCTGCGGACAGACTGAGTCAAAGCTAGGGCCACAAGGTCCCCAGGCGCCGCACACCCCACCCCCGGCCCTGGCCTCACCTCTCGAAGTCGCCTCTGCATGTAGCAGGTAAAGAGCCGCAGGACAGCGAGCTTGGCACCAAGCCAGCTTGGCACGTCCCTCAGGGTGAACAACTCCAGCTTCCCGCGGGTGGGCAGGTAGCAGACTTGGCTGGAGGTGAGGGGGTGTGTGTGTCTCTGTCCTAGGTGCCCCAGGCCTGTGCACACCTTCCCGTCCAGCCGCACCCCTTTGGACAGTGTTTTTTTTTAGTTTATTTTTGTGGCTAACTCACTGAGTTATCCAGGCCAGGCTGGAACTTGAGACCCTCCTGCCTCAGCCTCCCATCATGCTGAGGTGACAGGCTCCTTATTATTATTCCTATCTCACCTGACCAGCACTTGCACGGAACACCTTCCTGGGCCATGCTACTGACAGTCACTTTGCCTCCTACCCTGCCACCTCACCTGGTTATTCCCTTGAGAAAAGCACTACCTGAAATCAACTTAGTCATTCATTTGTTTAGGGTTGTTCTCCTCTGCCAGGCAGGAACCCCTGCAGAGGTGTACAGTGGGTGCTTAATAAATACTTGAGGAATTAATGGGATTTTAAAAACGTAGGGAAGGAGCTGGTCCTCCAGAGCAAAGGAGCCCGGAACTCACCTTCCTGGGGGGCGCAGGGCCATGTGGGTACCATCTCGGAAGAGGACTGCACTGCCTCCGTCCGACAGCTGGTAGCCAAAGCCGTACTTGCTGGAATAATCCACCCACATGGGGGCACAGAGTACAGGCTGCTGCTCCCCTGGGGGGTCCCATGTGGCTGGGCACAGAGATGGAATGGGATGCAGGGTCAGGTTAGGGTCTCAGCAGGGTCAGCAGCCACAGGCATAGCCTGGATAGAGGGGTGGGGTGCTTTTGTGTGTGTGTGTGTGCGCGTGCTACTGGGCACCAATCCCAGGGTGTCTGCACTGAGCTCCATCCCTAGCTCTTTATTTTTTATTTTGAGACAGGGTGTTGCTAAGCCACTAAGTTGCCCAGGCTGGGCACAAGCTTGGAATCTTCTTGCTTCAGCCTCCCAGAGTCCCGGCAGCTGTCACAGCAAACCAGGAGGCAGAGGAGGTGTGGGCAAAAGTCTAAGGATTGGTCTGCTGACTGTCCCTTCCACGGGAGCCATTGGGGTCCTGAGACACCACTGGAAACGAGGAATTCTGAGTCACTATGTGCACAGCACTCTGAGATGTTGCTTCATTTTATTTAAAATTTTTGCCCTCAAAAGTAAGAGTAAAAAAAAGTAAGAGTTGCTTTATGTTGGTACAGTTGGACAAGTGGATTAACTTCTTTTTCCAGCACAGCAGGGAAACTACAGATGACAACAATGAACCCAGGATTCCTAAACAGTTAATAGAGAGCTGTGTGCAGTGACACAGGTCCCTACAATGCCAGGTCCCCAGGAGGCCGAGGCAGGAAGGTTGCAAGTTTGAACCCAGCCTGGGCAATTAAGCAAGATGCTGTCTCAAAATAAAATTTTAAAAAAGGGCTGGGGTATTACTCAGTGGTGAGCGCCGGCAGGTTCCGTGCCCAGCGCTGCAAGGATCAAAAACAAAAAGTAGGGGCTGGGGATTTAGCTCAGCGGCAAAAGCGCCTGCCTGGCAAGCGCAAGGTCGTGAGTTTGGTTCCCGGTACCGGAGAAAAACCAAAAACCAAAAAAAAAAAAAAAAAAGTAGAAGCCAAACGGAGGGCATCCTGAGGACAAGGCCCTGGGGTGCTGATTCCCAGCTGGGGTCTAGGGCCCTCCTCAGAGCAGGGCAGGAGTGGACAGAGGCTGAAGGGAGTGCGGAGGGCCAGGGCTGCTGGGGAACAGGTCCGTCTCAGGAGGGGCGGCACAGCGTGGAGGCCAGGCTCCCAGCTGAGTCCTCCCCGGCCCTGGGTCTCCTCTTTGCCCCAGGCGGCCCCCAGAGAGGCCGAGCAAGTCGGGGAGTCGCTGCACCCTGAGAACGCGCTCACAACCTCCCAGCCTCCTGAGGAGCTCCTGAAACACCCAGGGGAGTTGTGGCGGGGCCACGAAAACAAAGCCCTGGGCTGGGCCGGGCTCCTACCCGCAGGACCGGCGTTCAGGCACAGCTGAAGCTTCCTGATGGCCGCCTCCACTTCCAGCCGTGGGCTCCCCTCAGGGCCTGGGGGGACAGAGCTATCTGGGGGGTTCACAGGCCTGGGTTCCCACCAAGATGACCCCTCCAACCTGCCGCTCTGGACTCCTGCATCCAGGAAAATCTCACCCTCCCCCCCATTTCTAATTTTTATTTTGAGACAGGGTTTCACTAAATTGCATAGACTGGGCTTGAACTTGTGATCCTCCTGCCTCAGCCTCCAGCCAGGAAATCTTGTGGTTTTTGTTTTGTTTTGTTTTGCTTTTTTGTTTTTGAGACAGGGTCTTGCTGCATAGTCCAGGCTGGCCTTGAACTCACTATGTAGCCCAGGCTGGCCTCGAACTTGCAGCAATCCTCAGCTTCCTGAGTGCAGGGATGACAGGTGTGCGCCACCACACCTGGTTGGAAAATCTCAGCTTAAACCCAGGATTTCAGGTATCATTCCCATAATACACGGGGGAAGTTGAGGCCAAGAGAGGGGCTGTGACCCTGGTGAGACACCGCTCATAACCCCACTTCTAGGTGTCCATTGCCTGCCATGGTCCCCACGAGGACGGAGGGCGCACTCACCTGCCGGGTCGCTCCGGAGGGCCCCTTGCGTGAGCAGGTGCACAGGGCCCTCGGGGTCGGGAGCCCTTCTCTCAGATAGAGCCACCTTTGAGGGAGCAGCAGAAGTGAGGGGCTCCGGCCCTGCCCCCTTGGCCCGTTCAGGCCCCTCCTTCCACCCACCTTGCACAGCGCCCGGAGCAACCAGGTTCTTACGGGGATGAGCTGCCCCAAACCCATGCACTGGACTCAGTAAGTGGACGGCGTGAGCCCAGGGTGGGAACCAGGCAGCAGCGAGAGCCCCAGACTGGGGCCAGAGTTGGACACGGGGTTCAGCCCCAGGACGTCAGGACAGGACCCTCGGAGGGTCAGAGCTTCCGTTGGAGCTCAGGAAGCCTGCAGGGGGCTTTATTTAATTACTTCTTTCTGTGTGTATTTATTTAGAGTCAGTCTCACTGCATAGCTCAGTCTGCCCTTGAACGCACTGTGCAGTTCAGGCTGGCCCTGAACTTGCAGATCCTCCTGACTCCGCCTCCTGACTGGTAGGGTCGTAAGTGTGCACCTACATACACCTGCACATGGGGGGCTTTGCAGGGTCCCTGTCCCCCAATTTCTCACCTCACCGCCCCGCTCCATGGGATCTGGTTCTAGCCCCTCTGCTCCTGCACCGGAGTCCTCTTTGGGGGTGAAGGGGCCTGAAGGAGAAGGAACACGTTTTGGGGACAGAGCCAGGGCCTCATGCAGAGGGGAGGCATCCCCCACCGCACCTCCCGCCCACCACCAACGCAGAGACGCTGCGGGGTGCAGTACTCACGGGGTAGCCGGCACTCAGCGAGCAGCAGCCGGCCCACCTTCCGGAAGAGGCTGTCCAGAGGCCGGGGGACTGCGAAATTGGGGGGGCTGTGGCAGGAATGGGGTGGCAGGCGCTCTGGGGTGAAGCCCTTCCAAGAGAGGTATTTGGGGTCAGCCCTTGCTCTGTGGGACCAAATCCCCATCATCTGCTCTGCTGGAAGGAGGGGGACCCCGGCTGCAGCCACCCAGCTGCCGTCCCCCACCTGCGTGAAGAAGTCATCCTGGAGCAGCTGGTCCAGGCTGGGCCGCTCGGCCGGGTTGGGTGCCAGGAGGCGGGCAATGAGGTGGCGTGCACTGGGCGACAGGTGGGCAGGCTCTGGGTAGCGGCCATCGAGGATGCTCTGATACATCTCCGAGGGGGGTGCCACAGGGAAGGGCGGACTGCCGGTGAGCGCCGTGTACCTGGGCAGTTGAGGGTGGAAATAAAGCGCTCTGGGTGTGCAAGGTTTGCTTACACCTACTTGTACACACCTGGCCATGCCTACCCGCACAACCTCCTCTGTACACACTTTGTGTCCTACCGTACCAGGTGAGTCCCCTGCCGCCGCTGCCTGCCTGCCCACAGGGGCTCTCCAGTGTACACTTTTCCCATCCCAACCCACGCGGCTCCCACGCACTCTCCTGCGCAGGTCTCTCGCCCGCCCACACTTCGCACACGCGCGCACCTGTCCCCGCACACCTGCAGCCCCCTGAGGTGTGACTGAAAGAGAGGGTGAATGTTTAGACTTTAAAAACTGATCCCAGTAAAGGACACACTGCCATGAAAGCCCCTCAAGGAGACTTCACTCCCAACACCCTTATCCCACCATCCTGCCTGCTTTCTGAAGCAGCTCTGGCGCTCTCTTTCATGAGGGTCTTTCGTTGTGTTGTCCCAGCTGCCTCTATGTCCTGAATGGATTCAAAACGTTTTCCTCTCATGGCCATTTTGACTGTGAGGGAGAACCAGAAGTTCATGGTGGGAAATCCTGTGCATAGCGTGGGTGGAGGCAGCGCCCCGTGTTTATGAGCTGCCTTTCCGCTGGGTGGCGCTCGGCTGCAGCGGTCACCATTTCTGATCCCACCTCTTAAAAGGAGGAATTGTGATGACGCATGTACAGATGCCAAGTCCCTGTGATGAAAGTGATCGTTATGTATATTTTTTAAACGTACCAATAAACTTAATAATAATTTTTTAAAAACACGCTCAGGGAAGAGGACTCTCCAGAGCTGCTTCAGAAAGTGGCCAGCACCACGGACCAAGTGTGTGGAAGTGAGGATTTGATGAGAACGTATAACAATGCGTCTTTTACTGTAATACGTCTTAAAAATGTAGATATGAACTGCATATTTTGGGTTTTTTTGCTTTTTGGGGGATACCGGGAATTGAACTCAGGACCTTGCTCTTGCCAGGCAGGCGCTTATACCATTGAGCTATATCCCCGGCCCCCGGACTGCATATTTTGATCCTGCACATGACAATGATGGCAGATGTGTGTCCCCACCTGCCTGTGCCACCACACACGTGCCCCCACTCCTGCTTCCCTGAGCACTCTCACCTGGCCATGCCCGGCCCACCTGGTCCCCGCCCCCGCCCCCGCAGTCCTCCCGCGTCCCCCAGCCCCAGTGTGCCAGGGACCCCACTCACAAGACACAGCCCAGGGCCCAGATGTCCGACTGGCACGTGTGCCCGTTCCGGGACACCACCTCTGGGGCCAGGAAGTTCGGGGTCCCGCAGAGCACTCTGGGAGGGGAAGAATGAGGCTGTAGGAAGGCACGGCCCTCATGCCAGACCTTGACCCGCCCAGAGGGGCTCTCAGACTCCACTCACCTGTGGCAGCGGCCCCCGGGCCCCACCCGGGCAGCCAGCCCCAGGTCTCCGATCTTCACCTCCATGCTGTTGTTCAGGAAGAAGTTACCTGTGGGTTGGGGAGCCCCGGAGTGAGGGGGACGTGGTCTCCAGCTCCCTGCGGGCCCCTCTCTGCCCCCGGACTCACTGAGCTTCAGGTCCCGGTGCACAATGCGCCGCTGGTGCAGGTAGCGCAGGCCGCTGACCACGCCCCGCAGGTAATAGCGCACCTCGGGCTCCGTCAGGGTCTGCCTCGCTTTGAGCACGTGGGCCAGCGACTGCAGGGGACCAGAGAGAGGGGCGCCAGCCCCCGCGGGGACAGGTGGGAGCAGAGTGAGCCCAAGGGACCCACCCAAGAAGACAAGGTAAGAGCAAGTTGGCAGAGGCAGGCATGACTGGTTGGGGTGGGCACAGGTGGGCACAGATGGGCACAGGTGAGCCCAGGTATATTTAAGTTCAAGGGGTTCTAGCAAGGCACAACTCAGTTCAACTGAGCCAACAGCAAGAGGTAAACTCAGGTGTGTGCAGGTGGGAAGAGCTGGCCATGGGTGAGTTCAACCGGGCCACACAGAAACAATGAAGGGGAAGCCGGGTGAGGTGGCACACTTGTGTCATCCCAGCGCTCGGGGAGGCTGAGGCAGGAGGACCACACGTTTGAGCCCAGCCTGGGCAATTTAGCAATTCAGCCAGACCTTGGCACAAAATAAAAAAATAAAAAGGAATGAGGGTGTAGCTCAGGGCAAAGGCCATGGATTCAATCCCCAGAACCAAAACAAAAAGTTCAGATGAGCCCAGGTGGCCACACGTGACCTGAGCTGGACACAGGTGAACACAGGTGTGCCAGGTGAGTTGTTAGCAGAGCCTAGGTCCACACAAGGACATAAAAGATGCCCAGAGATACCCTTCTGTGGGCCCAGGAAGCACTGGTAGCCGGACAGAGGGCATTCAAAGAGCTCAACATGGGCACAGGTGGAACCAGCGAGGGAGGGAGAGAAGGAGTGACAGGGCCGGGCGCGGATGGGCGAGGGAGGCGAGACTGGGCATGCGCACACATCCCCCCCGCCCCCACTGCACCTGGCGGCCGCAGTACTCCAGCACCATGTACACGTGGTCGCGGTCGGCAAAGTGTCCGTGGAAGGCCACGATGTTGCTGTGGCGGAGGCCGCTGTGCAGAGCGATCTCTCGCTCCACCTGTGGGCACCACCCGCACATGGGGACCTCAGGGAACCCCGCAGGGCGCCCCCCCACATGCGCCATGCCCACCGCGGGAGGGGAGGCAGGGTCTTCTCTGGGAACGGAGCTCACGGAGGGATGGTGGTGAGGGCCGTACCTTCCCCCTGGGGCGCAGACGCCCTGCACCGCTCCCACTGCGGGGCACCACCTTGAGGGCGAACACGGCGCTGTTGGACATGTCCGTCAGCTTGTAGCAGCGGCTGAAGGCACCCTGTGGAGGGGACAGGTGCACCCAGGTGTGCCCTGGTGTGCCCAGGTGTGTAGAACGGGGCCTCGGGTGTGCAAGCCAGCGTGGGCATGGGGCCACAGGGCCCAGCCTCTTCACACATATGTGGACACACAAGTATGCATAGCTCACACCTAGATACAACACAAACATAGACACACACAGGTTCAAAGACACACAACACACACAACCTAACCCACTAACCCATGGACCACAGCAGACCAGACACACAACCTATGAACACAACCCAGTGAATACCTGGACACACAATACCACCCAGAGACTCAACACATGGACACATAAACACACAACACAACATCTGGAGACAAAACAAAAATATACAACACCCTGACACGGAACAAATGAACACACAAGACAACACACACAACTAGAACCCGTGGATGCACAAATACACAACACAACACAGGGATGCACAACACTGGAGTAGGACACATACAGCTCACACACCACTAATACCTGGTCACACAACCCAACACGGGAACATAGGATGCACACACAGAGACACAACCCATGGGCACACAAAGCATCACAGGAACACAAAACACTCAAGCAGACATAGCCAGACCCAGACGCACAAGCCTAGGGACCACAGCGCAGGAGCTGCACACAGGACACAATATCTGGACACAACTCAACCTCTGGACACACACATTCCACAGACACGCGAAAAGCATAAAACACAGACATACGATGTGGGTGAGGTACACACACACAACAGGACAGACTCATACAAAGGCACGAAGGCGCGCGCGCACACACATACACGCACACACACACACACACACACGCACGCACACACCCGCCCCGACACAAAACCCACAGATATCGCGCCCCACCCACGGCTTCCCGCCACGCATCCGCGGACGCCCAGCCACGCAGACACCGCGCCGGACCCCAAACTCTCGGAACGCGCGATACACGCAGGGACAAAAGCCAGGCGCACGACCCGCAGGGGCGCCACACACTTTGCGTCGCCCCGCGCGCACTCCCGGCCCCGCCCGGTCCCCTCCATCAGGCCCAGCCCCTCGCCAGGGGTCCGGTCCGCGGTGGATGACCCCACCTTGCCGATAAGCTTCCCCCGCCGGTAGACGCGCCCCGAGCCGGGGTCGCGCAGGAAGGCGGCCACCAGCTGACGACTCCTGCGCCGGCGCCTGGCCGCGGGCTCCATCTGCGCGGGGCCTGGGCGCAGCCGGACCGAGCGCAGCGCTGTGGCTCTGGGCCCGCGCAACCCGGGCGCGTCTTATTGGTGAGGGGGGAGGAGAGGGGCGGAGCCTGGACACTCCAGGGACAGAAACCCCGGGAATGACAGGTGCGCCGGAACCGGGCAGGCAGGACACCTCCGCCGCAGGGTCCAGCGATCGGGGACGGACTGTCCAGTGCCAGGGCGCGAGGCCCGCTGGTCTGTTCAGTCCTGCACCTGGGGACTCACTGAGCCCATTTCATCGAGCAAGAAACTGAGGCTGGAGTCCTTCACTGCTTTTCTCTGAAGACCTCCCAGGGAACAGGGATACGTGTGGGGAACTCGTGGGGCTCTCCCCAGAGTAAGTCTAGTGATCCAGAAAGTAACTGTGGGTCCTCTCTGTGGGTGATTCCTGAGCCCCACAGCATAATGTGGCCCTTGATCACCTCGGGCACTGGGAAGCCATGGCAGGATTTAGAGCAGGAGAGGAGCCCAGAACGGCTAGGGCTGCAGCCGGCGGTGAGGGGAGTGAGGGCAGTGCAGGAAGCGAGCAGGCAGGGCTGGGAGTGTGGGGACGCCAGGGGCCGGGGCACTGGGGGGGTGGGGGTGTCATACATGTGTGCAAGTCAGCATTGAGAAGGATGCGGAGCCGGTAGTGATGGCGCACACCTGCCGTCCTGATACTCTGGGAGGCTGAGGCAGGAGGATGGCAATTTCTAGTCTCACCTGGGCAACTTAGCAAGACCTTATCTCAAAATTAAAATAAAACATAACAAGGGCTGGGGATGTAGCTCATCGCAAAGGTCCTGAGTTCAATCCCTAGTACTGCCAGAGAAGAAAAAAATGGAGGACAGATGGACACCGCGGATTGTGTCTTGTGCCACAGTGCAGGGTGGAGATATCCCTGAGCTGGGGGTGTCTGCTTGCCAAGTGCTGCTACCACCCCTGCCCCGTCCCCATTTCCCAGGGGAGCACACAGGGGCCCAGGGACCTCAGGAAGGGACAGCACTGGATGTGACCCAGGCGGCCGCCTCTGGACAGCTCGAGATTAATCCCCGAATGTTACATAACACCGGGCATGGGGAGGGGCTAGCAGGGCTCCTTGTGGCAGGAATCAGGCCTTGGAATTTTCCAGAGGCTAGATTTCAGAACCCAGCCGACCCACACCACCGAGTTCACGAGACACCTTCTGTGTGGTCACATATCCACGTGGGGTGTCAGATGGGGGGCGTCAGGGTGCGGGGGGCCCCTGGGCACAGTGCATTTGATGGACCAAGATTCAGGTCCTAGCCCAGTATGGTGGCTCTCAGGAGGCTGAGGCAGGAGGATCAGCACAAGTAGGAGGCCAGCCTGCAGACCTGAGGCAGGGTCTTCTGTGGGACACGGAGCCCAGGGAGGGATGGTGAGGGCCTTAACTTCCCCCTGGGGCGCAGACCCCCTGCACCGCTCCCATGGAGAGGCGCCACCTTTCGGGCAAACACGGCGCTGTTGGACATGTTCCTCAGCTTGTAGCATAAGGTAACGTAAAAAGACCCTGTCTCAAAAAAAAAAGAGGTCCTTTGTGGGGCTCTGATCTCAGTACCAGGTTGCAGAGGATTCCAAGGCTGCTTCGGGATCGCTGGCTACGGCCAGGGAGCCCATGTACCCAGCTAATGAGCAGGTGCAGAGGTGGGGGCGGGTGGAGAGCTCCAGGGCACATGGCCTGAGCCACCGCATCACCAGGACTCTGGAGTCCTCCGGGTGCATCCATTAAGAAAATCAGGCGGCACGGCCTGCCATCCCAGCATTAAGCAATTTAGCAACTAAGCAAAACCCTGCCTCAAGATAAAAAAGAAGCCCGGCAGGGTAGCACACGCTTGTAATCCCAACACTTTCGAGGCTGAAGCAGGAGGATTGCTGCAAGTTTGAGGGCAGCCTGGGCTACAAAGTGAGTTCAAGACCAGCCTGAACTGCACAGTGGAACCCTGCCTCAAACAAACAAATTAAAAAAAGGGGGGGGGAGGTGCTGGGGCTGGGTGTGGTGGTGTACACCTGTCATTCCAGTACTCTGGGAGGCTGAAGCAGGCGGGTTGCAGTGTTTGAGCCCAGCCTGGGCAATTTAGTAACTTAGGGAGACCCTGTCTCAAAATAAAAACTAAAAAGGGCTGGGGGTGGAGCTCAGTGTAAAGGCCCTGGGTGTTCCTATGTCACATACACACACAGAGGAAGAAAGAAAATCAGTTTCTACTGTGTAATACACCTCCCCCCATGGTTCCGTGAGGTACTTATTAAGCACCTAGTGTATACAGACTCCTTTCACTCTTCGTAAAATGACAGCAGTTTACCTAAGGTATCACAAGGAGAGGGTGGAGACTTAGTCAAGCTGGGACTCAGGGAAGGCGTGTGGGACACCATGAGGTAGCCAGGCCCTTTCTGGGCAGCAGCTGGCCCATAAGTTTGGGCTATTCTTAGCCCCGAGTGACGGAGAGGAAGAACAAGGCTTAGAGCCGCTGTGAGCTCCTGGCCACTGGGCAGGGCTGTGAGTGGCCAAGCCCTGCCTGGGCTCTGGGCAGGGTGGACCCAGAAGCCCTGTCCCCGCCATATGGTCCCCCCAGCTCCTTCCCGGGCAGCCCCAGGGAGCGGTGCCAGGCCTGGCCCTGGAGCTGGGCAGGTGGCCGAGGCCAGAAGCATTGAGGGGGAACAGAAGGAGCGTTCCTGGCCTGCAGCCCTGCGGCCAGCCATCAGCTGATGCCACACACGACCAGCCCTACATCTCCTGGCTGCCCGCTGGGCTTCTCTGGCCCAGCCTCTGCCTCGGAGTGGGGCCTCCAGGTGGCGGCCCACGCCCCTGTTATCGGGAACCCCGCCCTCCTTGGCCAGCTGCCCCTAGTCCTGTGCTCCCCGCCCACCCCAGCCTGGCCGGAATTTCAGGGGGCAGCTGTGGGTGGATCCTCCAGTGTTCCTCGCCGAGGGCCTCTCACGGGCATCAAGGGCTGGGGCGGCTGCTTCGGGGTCTGGGTGCGCTAAATGTCACAGGACGGCTCACGGAGGGGCTGCGTGACATGGGTGTGATGCAAATTTCACCTCCCTTCAAGGAAACAAAGTGGGGCTGGGGGCTGGCTATGGGGTCCAGGAGAAGGTTTCCCACACACGGGCAGCGCAGAGACCCCAGAAATGAAGCAGAGGCCACCTGCACCTCCAAAGGAATGGGGGTCTCGCGCTAGAGACCAGGGAAGGGAAAACAGGATGTCCAACTTCAGTTCTTTTCTTTTTCTTTCTTTCTTTCTTTCTTTCTTTCTTTCTTTCTTTCTTTCTTTCTGTAATGAAAATTGAACTCAGTCCTTCACACTGAGCTCCAGCTCCAGCCCTTTTTAGTTTTTTATTTTGAGACAGGGTTTTGCTAAGACACTAAGTTGCCTAGGTTCAAACTTACAATCTTCCTGCCTTAGCTTCCCTAGTAGCTGGGATAACTGGTGTGCACCACTACCCTCAGCTCAACTTCATTTCTTGAAATCCACACTTGAGAATGAAATAGACTTTGGTGTGTGTGTGTGTGTGTGTGTGTCTCTTTTTGAGACAGGGTCTCGCTACGCAGTTCAGGCTGGTCTTGAGCTCACTTTGTAGCCCAGGCTGGTTTCAAACTTGCAACAATCCTCCTGCCTCAGCCTCCTGAGTGCTGGGACTACAAGCATGCACCACCACGCCTGGCTGAAATAGCTTTGTAATAAAATGAACAGAGACATTTATGGCGGCACAATTCACAACAGCCAAAAGTGTAAGCAGTTCAGGTGTCCATGGATGGACGAGGAACCTAGTGAGGTCATCTTCACGCTGGGAAGTCACTCAGTCAGAGTGTGACAGTCCCTGCAGCGTGGAGGGACCTTGAGGACACCACACTTAGAGACACCACATACAGAGGACACCCAGCGTGCACTCTGTGGACACGAAACGCCCGGCACGCGCAAATCCGGACAGGAAGTGGAATTGGTTGCCGGGGCGGGGAGGGGACAGGTAAGTGCTATGGGGACTGAAGGGGCTTCCTGCTGTGGTAATGGGATGTTCTGGAAGTGGACGGCAGTGACAGCTACACAGCCCCGTGAATGTGCTCCATGCCGCTGAGCTGTGCATTTAAAATGGCTAAGATGGCGCGTTTTATGTTACATATTTGTCACCACAATAAAAAAGTAAAAAGCACTGTATTTTTCTTCCTCCCCAAACCCATTTCTAAGCCTCTCTCTATCTCTGTTTCTGTCTCTGTCTCTCTGTCTCTGTGTCCATGTGTCTCTGTGTCTGTCTCTGTCTCCCTCTCTGAGATAGTAAATCATCATGTAGCTCAGGCTGGCCTCGAAGTAGCAGCAATCCTCCTGTCTCAGCCTCCTGAGTACTAAGATTACGGATCTGGCCACTAAGACCCTCGTTTTAGAAGGAGAAAGTAAGGCAGATCAGTGTGCTGGGCCCAGGGTTGCTGTTTGTAGAGTCAGGGTAGTTTGTAGAGTCAGTCACCCCCTGAGGTGGGGGGCTGTCTGCCCGTACCATTCCCATCGCTGCCTTCAGCCCCCATGTGAGCCCTGTTTCTCCCAAGCCTCCCTTCTCCCGCTGACCTGGGATAACTCCCCAGACTCAGCACATTTCTGAGAAGCAGTGCCTGGTAGCTTCGCTCAAAATACCTGCGGCAGGTGGAGGCGGCTGCTGAGCCAGCGGGCACCAGGTCCCCAGAGGCCCGGAGGCTCACGGGGCTGGCATGGGGTCCCCGCACCCGCCTCCTTCTACAGGGCACCAGGACTGTGCAGCAGCAGCTCCCAGGTCCACGCTGGTCTCCTGGCCTTTGGTGAGCACTCGTGGTGTCCTGCGGGCCAGGACTCGTGAGCCTCAGCCGCCGCCACCGTCCCCAGGGAGCAGCACTCCAGGAGCAGAGGAGCCGGCAGGGCCGGGCTGCAGGAGGAGCCCCAGTGCAGGGGTGGAGGGGACACCTGGACTTTGTGGCCAGGTCCTCTGAGCTCCTGCAGCCCCAGGATCAAAGCTGCCCCCTGTGGCTTGGATTCTCAGCGCCCTCGGGGCCAGCTCCTTTGGAAGCTTCGTCTCTCTCACCCTCTGCCACACTTCCCCTCTTTTTTTCCATCTTTCTGGCCAAGTCATTCCAGTCCTCCTGAAAGCTTCCTGTTCCCTAGCTGGCCTGGTGGCACACACCTGTCATATCAGCCCTCTGGGTGGCCAAGGCAAGATTGCAAATTATAAGCCCAGCCTGAGCAATTTAGCAACTTCGCCTGATACTGTCTCAAAATTTAAAAAAAAAAAAAAAAAAAAAGCTGGGAGTGGCTCAGTGCCAAGGCCCTGGATTCAGTTTCCTAGTACTGGCTCCTGGGGGGATCCTCCCTGTTCCCTTCCTGACGTCCAAGCTCCCCTTTCTTCACCTCCTCTGGCCAGCCTTATCCAGGGAGGTCACTAAGTTAGCACCTACTGCAGGGATGTTGGTGCTGAGAGTCATTCTGGAGAACAGGGTCGGAGCTGGTGACCATTTGGCTCCTTGAAGCCCAAGCCCA